AAGACCTTCCACCCACTGGCCTGTGATCTTCCTGCATTCGGCATCATTGCATGTGTTGCGTGAGTCCAAAGAGGAACTTACAGACTGGTATCAGACCTACGGGCTAATGCTGAGACTGGTATCGGACCTACGGGCTAATGCTGGACATGTGGACTTGATCTGGACTGGGCCGGGATGTTTTCTTCAGATACAATTACTCATTGGCATAAGGCTCTTTCTTAGACACAGATGAGTGTCTATGAATTTGTTTCTCCGGTCCACCGGGACTAACACGGGAAGACAGACTCACAAACGGCCTGGCTGAGAACTGAAGGAGTCAGTCTGCAAGGACTGAAACTTCCGAGTTGGGGTTGTGCAGTCTGGGCTTTGGTTTTCAGCTCCAGGTGCTGAAGAAACTCCTGACCAACCACTAGATGAGAACTAAGCTAAAAGGACATCGACTTCAGTGACCACACATGACACCGAAGGCAGCCTTTACCAAGAGAGTTTGGACAAGCCCCTGAACAAACACCAGCAACCCCCAAGTGGTAACATTCGATGCTGGGGTGAGGAAGGAAAAGCAGATGTCCTGAGCTTCCACATTGGAATATTCAAAATGCTTGCATTTGAACGAAAAAGATCGCAGTCTGGGTGGGTGAAGGGAGATGCCGGGCAGTGTAAGATAAGATAAAATAATAATTGATAAATTATTAAGGGTTTATGAGGGAGGGGGGAACAGGGAGGGAGGGGGAGGGAAAAAAGGAAAATGAGGAGCTGATTCCAGGAACCCAAGCGGAAAGCGAATTTTGAGAATGATGAGGGCAACAAATGTTTAAGTGTGCTTGACACAATGGATGGATGTATGGATTGTGATAAGAGTTGTATGAGCCCCAATAAAATGATTAAAATTTTTAAAAAAGATCGCAATCCATACACAAAGTAACAAAGTATGGCTCGTTCACAGAAGAAAATAGCAGATACTGTCTCCAAAGACACTAAGTGAGTCAGTCTAAAGAAGTAAGTCTAAAGACATTTGACTTACTAGACATGACTGTAAATTAATTGCCTTAAATATGCTTAAAAAAAGAAAAACTCAAAAAAACTAAGACTGGGGGAATCCCCTCAATATGATAAAGGGAATGTATTAAAACAGCCAAACCTACAGCTAACATCACACTCAAAAGGATGCTGGGGGCGCTGCCAGGTATGCTATTAGACGACTGCTAACCACAAGGTTGGCGGTTCAAAGCCACCAGCCACTCCCCAGGAGAAGGATGAGGCTGTCTGCTCCGGTGAAGGTCTAAGGTCTTGGGAGCCCAAAGGGGCGGTTCTACTCTGTCAGAATCAACTCAATGCCAGTGAGTTTGGGTGGTTTTTTGTTTTGTGTTGTTGAGGGGACGTGAGAGGAAGGCGCCCGTCGGAACTCACCATCTCCCAGAAGTACATGGCCATCTGAGCCCTGTTTAAGAGCAGGGCCCAGAGCAGCAGGTCACTCCAGGGGCCCTGCCCAAGGAGAGCGTCCAGCCTGAGGTCAGAGGTTGCCCTGGCTGAGAGCAGGCACATCTGCAAGTAGGAAAGGCCAGGTAAAGGCCGCGCCCGGCCCACAGCTCCCTGGCCCCGCCCAGGCTCAGACACACCCACAACCCGTGGCCACGCCTCCTCCCTGGGACAGCCCCACCCCAGCCCAGCTCAGTCCTTACACTCTCTCGGCAGTCGCGGCCAGAGTGGACATCCAAGGCGCTGTACCTGGGCGCGCACATTTCCCCCAGCAGCAGCTTCAGCACGTGCCCTACGTTAGGGGGAGGGGCCTCCGCAGACCCTGCAAAGGC